GAGGTCAGATTGGAAGATTACCTATTAATTTCACTGATTTGTCATGATTTGCCAAAGCTTCGTTTTTTTCACTGTAGGGTGGAATTGGTGCAGAAGATTTGTTAATATACTGAATGGGAGTGTGATGACATCACGGAAGAACTTTATCTGTATTTACTACTTCAAATTTATGTTCTTTTGTTCTCTGGGCTGTTGGAGAATTCTAAGGGCCATTTTGACATGGTAAATAAGAGCATGATGGCTATCTTGCATGCATTCAACTAAACTAATTTTCCATATTTCAATTTCAATTAACGTGAAGCTGGGAAGGCTAAGAAATGATTGTCGGAGTCTTTAAATTAGAACTTTCAACTTGTACATATTGAAGTAAACAAAAGTAGCTGTGTACCAACTGGTGAAATAACTGATGAGACTTATAGATTTATTGAGATGCAAATATCATTAGTCATGTGTAGAAGCGTTCAGAGCGGGCGAAGTGACTAGCTATTACTCAAATCAAATCAAGGTCTGGATAGAAAAAAATGATAATCAAATAGAGGACTAGATTTTGGGGCATACTCTATTAGGAAATTCTTATGTCTTCATCCGCTTTTTTGTCAATAAATTTATCGATTGACTAGCTGGTACAGGTTGTAAATTTACAGACTTTGCAAAAAAAGCTCATGCATATCTTTCTCATTTATACTTTACCCACAAAACAAACACAAAAGTTATATAGTGCTCAAGAAATCCTTAGAACTGTGCATTATTTAAGGAAAAAATCTTGAACTTTTTATACAGTTTATGTTCAAAAACTTTCTTGGCTAGACAGGTCAAAAATTTTCCTAATTGCTTGTGAGTTTGCCATGATTGCAGGTAGTTAGCAGTGACAGAACTAACGCGCAGACTTTGACCTCGTTCCACTTCACTTGCCCATGGTTTTCCTCATTGCTGCATATTACTGTAATACTTTACCTACTTGAGTTTTGTCCCATTTTTGTGGATGTTATGATCTGTCGTGAACTACATCCGAGGCTTCGTGTCTCCATTTAACACTAAAGCCCAGCTTGCTTATCAAGAATTGACTGAATATTCCCAATAGTTCTTGCTTTATGATCGACAATTATGATAACACTTATTAGTACAGTTTCATCAAAATCTAAACACTAATGTAATGTGTCAAGGAATTAACAAAAGTTTTAAACAGTCATTCTTCCTGTTTTAATTGCGGCAGAAATATGTTTTGTAGGCAAAATTGGAAGAACGTTCGGTCAATTTGCCTACAGAGCGAATTTAAGCAGATTTCTTGTGAACATCATCCAAGGAACACTTCAGATTCAAGTGCAGAGCCTAGCTTAGTGAGTCCAATAGTGTGAATGAGTTTTACTTTGTCACTCGTTTGAAGAAAATTTCTAAGACGGCGGTAAGCCTAAGCTTGCAAATCGCACTAGGTGGCTTTGTTATAAATCGGTTAATTAGCCAGCAATTTTTTCGAAATTTCTGATTTATGCTATATACCTAATTGTTATGCGTTATGTTTTGTGAAAGATGTGTTTGATGATGTCATGTATTGTGTGCTAAATTTTGAAATTAACAGAATTTCGTAATTTTGTAAATAGATAAACAATTCTGCTGGGATTTAATAAAGAAATTCGAGCCTTTCCACAAAATATGCCTATCATTTTATGCACAGCTAATGGCTAAGGGACTATTTACCGATAGTAGGTGGCGCCCTAAAGATCACCGCTTCTCTTCAAGATTTTAACTGTGACTACTAGAAGGAGCAAGCACTGTGATTGGATCGGAGAATTTTGGAATAGGTTGACAGCACACTAAAATTCGTTACTTGAGAGAAATCGGCCTTTCACGTTTGTTGAAAAAGGAAAGTGGGGCTTGCAAGGGACAATAATTTTTTCATGGTCTTGCTCTTATTTCCTTTCTCCGCATACACTAAGCACTTCGCCTAAGCGTTTATCTAATTTCATAGTTTATATTCCATTGGCGCTACTCTTCATAAACAAATCAAGTTCACATTTTTCAAGATTGCGGGTAATGAGAAAAACAGAAATGCTACAGGCTTTGACCTCGTTCCACTTCACATCAAGTGCTTTTCGTCAGTTTTGCGTCACCTAGATGTTCACTGTTTTGGATTTTTTAAACTTTTTAACTCTTTTAACTCTACAGTGAGTTCGTTATTTTAGGGTCCCAAAAACTTTTTCTGCCACACTTCGCTCTTTTCACAGGACTTCTATAGCTGAACAATGAGGAAGCAAAGAATTATTACCAAAATTCTAAATTTTGGAATATTTTGGAAGATTTTTTATCGTAGAGCAGAAAATGAACTTTTTTACTATTCTTGGCTATGTTCTACATTCAAAAAAGGAAAATTTGCTGTCAATGACATTTTACCAGGAACAAAAAAAAAACACTGCGACTAATTTTTGCCCACAGCCGCCTAAAGTTGCAAAATTAGTGATTATGTCCATCTATACAAATGTTTCAGATTTTACTTAGTTTCCCCTAGGTTTCGCAGTAAGATCACTCAACGAAACTACTTTATTGTTCTTACTGTTGCCTGTGTGAAGGTCTACAGCCTCCGTGGCGCGGGAGTAACTCTGGGTGTCTGCGAAATACAGTGGAGGTTAACCTCCAGCAGCATGTCCCCATGAGAAGGAGTTCGACGTTTTCCGCTCCCGGATGCCCAGCTAAGAGTAGGCCATGCCAGAGCCCCACCGTCTGGCTTATTAAGTTGATAGGCGGTTCTTTGATCCACATAAAGTCAGCGATTGCCTGCGGCAAAAGCTTGGTAGCCCTGCCAAGGCTGCTAAGTGTGGGGATTTATTCTCTTACCTGTAAAATATGTAATAGGAAAAGAAGCCCTGCACACTTTATCACATCTACGGCATCGGATGTCATCAAGA